AGTGGAAAAGTTTTAGTTTCACCTGGTTTAATTTCATAAAAAGTCTTCTTTAAGAAACCTTTTGCTATCCGATTATTAATTGACAGAATAATCTATTTGCAAAATAATCATTAATATCAGCCCTACTGTAATCCCTTTTAATATTTACATTCTGGATGTCGTAAAGATAGCATGTGTGGCTGCAGCTTATTTCCATACATTTTGTACTGTATTGAGAGTATTTGGTTTAATTTTCCAACAGTTTGTGGCTCAATTCTCTGATGTAAGGCAGGGCATTTTCCAGTGAGGCTGTCTGATGAGCATACTCTTGTAGTAGTTGCAGAGTGCACAATTATACACCACACTGGAATAATTTCAACTCCCTAAACTAAATGGTGGAAATTGCATTAGAGATGTTTCCTTTCCACAGCTAATACTGCTGGGGCAAACTAAATATAAATGACCTTTTTCAAGTACTGCCAACGTATACCAAGATAGCTCCTATTATTAGATATAGGTTTTATTGATCTTTTTCCTTCCCTTTGTGTTATATCTATAAGGTTTTAGTATAGAAGTCTCTGTCTTTGTCTATATTGTCCTTGCAGACTGCAATGAATCTTCCAGGAGGAGGCAGATCTGGAGAGTATCAGCGCATTAAGAGAATTAATATTGATTTTTAAAACAAAGTTGACATGGGGTTTTTAAATTGACTCGAGAAATGCTTCACTTTAAAAAGTCTCAGTGTGTAGTTTGTCAGTGGAGTGGAGAGAAACTTTACACTCCATTTGTGATGTAATAAGTTTCCAGTGAAGGCTTTCCACACTTAAAAACAGGCCTTTTAAAATGGTGTGGACGACTGTAGCTTCATTTAAAGCTTGACCAAATTAAACCATCTTATTGTTCATGAAACTCATTAAAAAAAGTATAAGTTGCACAAGAGAAAAAAAATATTTCTACTTGATTTTTAATCCTGAGAGGTTATTTATGATGTTTAAAGCTGAGCAGGATTCCCGGTGCCTTTGATGGCAGTTAAAAGGAGACAGCAGGCAGTCTCACTGTAGCGGCTGTGCTTGCAGGGTTTAAGTCTCGGCGGCCAAGTTTGCATGCTCAGTGGGCCGTTGGAAGGAATATCCCCCCCAAACACCCCCCGGCTGCTTGCCCCACTTTTGGTCTGACAGAGACAGATCATACAGACACCAGTGTTTTCCTTTCCTAACTGCAGCCCATCAACCCATCAATCCCTTTGACATGATATTTAATAACTGAGCAACTGATCCTTGACTCAGATTTATGTAGTGCAAGGAGATTTCCCTCAGATTTTCAAAAATTTTCCATCATTTTCCATTTTCCATCAATGCCTATTAGCATTGATTTTTTACGTTTTGCTACAATACAACCTCATGCTTTAGGGTATATTATTTTGTGTTTTGTATGAGAGACCAATGGAAATCATTGAGTTATTAAACACTGAGTATGTCAGAAGACAAACACTATATGAACTCCAAATATGTGAACAGGAACGCTTGCTGCAGTTTTCATTTTTGAAAGATTTGTAAGCCAATTTTCACATATGCCGGACTTTATGTTGGTTATAAAATCCTATGAAACACGTTGAGTGTTTCGATGT